ACATGTCAAAAGTAAACCAATATATATATACATATCATTTAAACCATTAATGTAAATGACTTCAGTTCACAATTAAAAGAAACAGACCAGCAGAATGGATCAAGACACAACATCCAACCATATGCTGCATACAGGAAACCCATCTAACCAAAAAGGAAGCTCATAGATTGAAAGTCAAAGGATAGAAAGTAATACTCCATGCAACAGGATCCCAGAAAAAAGCAGGAGTAGCTATTCTGTTTGCATACAATGTGAACTTCAGCCAAAGAATCATCCAAAGAGATTAAGAAGGCCACTACATACTAGTTAGGGGAAAACTTCAATGCACGAAGCGATAACAATCTTAAACATATATGCACCAAATTTGGGAACACCCCAGCTATACAAAACAAATATTAACAGAAACAAAAACTCAAATAAGCAATAACACAATTACAAGAGGAGGCCTTAACATGCCATTGACACAAAGGGACAGATCAACTGGACAGAAAATCAACAAAGAAATAACAGAAATGAATCACACCAGTGAACAGATGGACTTGATAGATGTATACAGAGTGTTCCACCCAACAACATCAGAATATACATTCTTCTCAGAAGCACATGAGACATTCTTTAAAATAGATCATATACTAGCCCACAGTACATGCTTAAGTAAATGCAAAAGAACTGAAATTAACCCATGCATATTATCAGATCATAGTGCCATAAAACTAGAAATCAATGATAAAAGGACCTGCAAAAGCTGCACAAACACATGGAAATTGAATAATACACTCCTGAGCAATCAGTGGGTCACAGAAGAAATTAATATTTGGAGGCAAACGAAAATACAAATACATTTTACCTGTGGGATGCATTGAAAGTAGTATTCAGAGTTTATTGTGCTGAACTCCCACATCAGGAAAACAGAATGAATGTAAATAAACAACCTGATATTACACCTCAAATATCTAAAAAAAGAAGAGCAAGTCTAACCCAAAGCCAAAAGAAGGGAGGAAATCATAAAGATCAGAGCAGAAATCAATGCACTAAAGACTAAGAAAACAACACAAAGAATCAATGAATCAAAAAGTTGGTTTTTTGAAAGAATAAATAAAATCAACAGGCCTCTAGCCAACCTTATTTTAAAAAGAAAAAGCCTCAAATCCATGCAATAAGGAACGAAAAGGGTGAAATCACTACAGACCCTGTGGAAACACAGAAGATGATCAGTTACTTATTTTGAAAACCTCTACTCTCATAGGCTTGATAACACAGAGGAAATGGACAGATTCCTAGAAACATGTGAATCACCAAAGCTGGGTCAAGAAGATGTAAAACTGAATAACCCAATTTCAATTAACAAAGTTGAAAACGTAATTAAATCCCTACCAACAAAGAAAAGCCCAGGTCCAGACGGATTCACTGTGGAATTCTATAAGAAATTCAAAGAAGATATAATGCCGACACTCCTCAAACTCTTCAATGAAATTGAAAGGAGAACAATTCTCCCTAACTCATTCCTGGAAGCAAACATTACTCTAGTACCAAAACCTGAGAAAGACCCAACCAAAAAAAAAAAAGAACTACAGGCCAATCTCCCTAATGAACATAGATGCAAAAATTCCCAATAAAATTTGGGCAAACAGAATGCAGCAACTCATCAAGAAGATTATACACCATGACCAAGTGGGATTCATTCCAGGAATGCAGGGATGGTTCAACATATGCAAATCAATAAATGTAATCCACCATATCAACACAGCCAAAAATAAGAACCACATGAGCATATCTATAGATGAAAAAAAGCTTTTGATAAGGTCCAATACTTATTCATGATAAAAATCCTTACAGAAAATTGGAATAGTCTTTACCTCAGTATGATATAAGCCATGTATGACAAACCAACAGCCAGCATCATATTAAACAGCCCAAAACTGAAAGCCTTACCCTAAAAGCAGGAACAAGATGGGGATGTCCATTATCACCACTCCTATTTAATATAGTGCTAGAAATACTAGCCAGGGCTATTAGACAAGAGACAGAAATAAAAGGAGTAAGGATAGGAAAAGAAGAAGTTAAATTACCATTATCTGCAGATGACATGATACTCTACATAGAAGACCCCCAAAACTCCATTAAAAGATTCCTAAGTATAATAAATAAATTCAGGAACATAGCTGTATACAGAGTCAACACTCAAAAATCAATAGCACACCTATACACTAACAACAAAACCACTGAGAGAGAAATAAGAGAAGCCACACCCTTTACAATAGCATCCAACAAAATTAAATACTTGGGAATTAATTTAACAAAAGAAGAAAATATCTATTTGGGGAAAATTATAATACCCTGAAAAAAAGAAATTGAAGAGGATCTCAGAAAATGGAAAGACATCCCTTGTTCATGGATAGGAAGAACAAATATTGTGAAAATGGCAATTCTCCCAAAATTGCTATACAGTTTTAATGCAATCCCAATCAAAATACCACTAACATACCTCACACATCTAGAGAAATCACTCCTAAAATTCATCTGGACCAGAAGACACTCAGAATAGCAAAGGCACTTCTAAGTAACAAAGGTAAGGCAGGAGGCATCACAATCCCTGATCTGAAGTTTCATTACAAAGCTACTGTAATAAAATCAGCATGGTACTGGAGTAAAAACAGACCTGAAGATCAATGGGGTAGATTAGAAGATACAACTACAAATACAAACACACTCAGCCACCTCATCTTTGATAAAGGGACCAAACATGTCCACTGGAAGACAGTCTCTTCAATAAAAGGTGCTGGAAAAATTGGCTCTCCATATGCCAAAAACTAAAACTAGACCCATGCCTATCACCATGAACTAAACTAAAGTCTAAATGAATAAAAGATCTAAATATTAAAACACAAACACTAAATTTTTTGGAAGACAAAGCAGGTAGAAATCTTGAAGACACAGGGGTAGAGAATTCATGAGCAAGAATCCAACCACACATGAAATACTTCACAGGATCAATAACTGGGATTGTGTCCTATTAAACAGTTTTTGCATGTTGAAAGAAATCTCCAACATAGTGAAAAGAAAACCCGCAAATTGGGAAAAAATCTTAGTGAACTGTACCTCAGACAAAGGATTTCTGTCTGGAATACATAAAGAATTAAAAAAAATCAGATTCCCAAAATTCAATGACCCATTCCAAAAATGGGCATCTAAGATGCACACACAGAATTCTCAGATGAAGAAATACAAATGGCAAATAAATACATGAAAAAATGTTCACCATCATTACTCATTAGAGCAATGCAAATTAAAGCAACACCGAGGTTCATCTCCAGGAAGAATGGGCAGGATAAAAAAAAAAACTACCAACAACAAATGCTGGAGAGGCTGCAGGGAAGGAGGAATTATTTAGGACTGTTGGTGGTAGTGTATACTAGTGTGACCACTGTGGAGGTCAATCTGAAGGTTCCTCAAAAAGCTGTGTTTTCAAGTCCCATTTGACCCAGCTATCCCACTTCTGTGCATATTCCCAAAAGAGCTGAAAACACCATACCACAGTGATATACATACACCCATGTTTATACCAGCACAACTTGTAATTGGAAACAACCTAAATGCCCATCAACCGAGGAATGGATAAAAAAGATGTGGTATTTTTATACAATGGAGTACTGCTCTGCTATAAAGAATGATCACACTGAGATATTTATAAGTAAATGGATGCAACTCAACACCATACCCATAAGTGAAATATATCAAACTCACATGTGTAAATACTGTAGTCTCCCTAGTGTAAGAAATGGTAAGAGTACATAAGATACACAAAACTCAATAATTACAGTGAAAGGATAAGAATCTGCTTAAAGGAGAAAAAGTAATATCTCAGAGAAAATGAAGAAAAAGAAAAAGGGAAAAAATGTCTAAAATGATATAAACACACTTAGGATAGCTAAGATGATTGTGCTACAAACTGTAAGTTCTTGGAACAAAATAGTTGTCATTCATAGGATTGAAACAATTGTGCATGCTACTGAATGGTGAACTGAGGAACTCTTGAAGATCATCACATAAAGTAACAACCCTAGTTACGCTGCTACCACCTTGTTTTGACATTGTCAGTGTTCTGGGCTCTCTGTTATTGTTTATATGTCTTTTTCATTTGGTATTTTTCTGGAAATTTGTTTTGTTTTGCCTTGTTTTGTTTCGTTTTTCCAAGACAGAAAAGATAGGTACACATTAACAGACTCATGCATGCATAGAACTTCTAAAAAGTTTATGAGAAATGATTATATAATGCACGATGAAATGAACAGCTACTTTGAAGAAAGAGAGACACTAAGGTACTGATTCCATAGTGTCATGATGTGACATCCAGCAATACTATTATTGTTTGTTCAAAGGGATTTTAGTGTGTTTTGTTTTGTTTAATTTCAACATATATGAAAGTATGGACAGCTATTCTGAAGAGAATGAGAACCATTATGGCAGCCATTGTTGACTTCCTTATTGTCTGGTCTTGAAGACCTAAAATGCCTTCATCATGATGTTCTCATCAGTTCTCTACTACTTTGTTTTGTATGAACTCACTGTAAGTGAAGATATGGACAACTATTTGGAAGAAAACAAGAGACTGTGATAGACGGTGAAGATCTCCGTTGTCTTGCTTTGAAATCTTGTCTCTTACATTGCTCTCTTATGATCTGTTTTGTTCTGTTTAATTTTGCCCTGTTTAAAAATAAAAAATAAATAAAACTGAGAACCCTCCAGTGAATTGGTAAAACAAAGCCTGGGGGCACACATAAAATCAGGAATGCAGAAGACTACGGAACAGTTTCAGAGGTATAGAATTATACGGCAACGCTACTTGCAACGTAGGGCCTGCACATTTGGAAATGTAAAAGGAATGGACAAATTTTCTAGGAAAATATGTTACTAACTGACTCAAGAAAAAATAGGACAGGTTTTGGTAGGACAAGCAGAGCCAATATGTACGCCTAGATACAAGTGCAGGTCGCTTTGGGAAACGTGGCGGAGGCGAGGGAGGGCCCTGCAGAAACCCCCGCTCGTGAGTGGGGCGCGCTAGGAATCAGTTCGGTGAGCTCCTCCTGTGAAAGGGCAGCAAGGTTGCTCCCGGGGAGCTGCGGGCGTGGGCCGGAGAGGACGGGGAGCGCCTCGGAGGGGCCGGAGAGCCCCGGCTCACACCGATCGCCCCTAAACCGCGAGGTCCTCCCTCGCCGGCCGCTCTCCTTCCTTCCCTGCCACACCCGGACGCGGCACCACGGAGGGAGCACACTCGGGCTCGAGCCTCCGCCCGGCCTGAGCCCCGCGGCCAGGTTTGGGGCCGCCCCGCCTCTCTGACCGGATCCGCGCCCCGCCCACGCCCACGCCTCGAGGCCTGGAGACGTGGGTGCCCGCGGCCGCAGCAGCAGGACTCGCAGGAGGCGGCTGGCGAGGGCGCGGCTGGGAGCGAGACTCCGTCCGTCCGCTTCACGGTTCTGTCAAAAACAAAAGGAGGAAAAAGGAAAACTTCCGCCCCCACCGCAGCCCGCTGCGCGCCACTTGCAGCAGCAGGGCGGCTCCGAGGAGGACACGGGGGTGCATCCATGCAGCCTGCACCAGCTCCGGACGAGCCCTGGGCAGCACCGGCCCGGCGCGCCCAGCCGCGCCTCGGGAGGTCCGGGGCGTCCCCTGACCCAACGCGGAGGTGATGCGGCCGGGCAGCGGGGAGCCGGGCGGTCCCGCGTGGACAGCAGCCCGCCAGGTGAGCGCGTCCGGGGCTGCGCGGCACGGCGGGGTCCGGCTCGGGGGCGCAGGCTACCGCGGGGCGCGCGGGGGGCGGGAGGACACGCGCCCTGGGATCTGCCGGGACCGGGACCGGAGAGAGCGCGGCAGCCCGAGCTTTGCAGAAATCCACATGGTGGTGAGGGCTTGTGACCCTGACCGTCTACGCAGGCTTGTGGAGCGCGCATCTGAGCACGCCTGGGCCGCGGTCGCAGAGAATTTACCGCCGGCCTCGCAGACCCCTTCCGCGGCGAGCTCCGGCCTTGCCGCGTCAGCACCGCGGACAGCTCCCGGCCCGCGCTGGGCTGGGCCTGCGGGGAAGGGCTCCTGCAGCCGCTGTGGCGTTCAGCTTTTGATCTGCTTCTGACAGCTTCCTACTGCAGAAGGAAGAGGCGGAGTAAAACCCTCAATCCACATAACTGGAGTCCTGCGAACCCGCCACTGAACGGTGCGGCCTCCTGGGTGTTGGGAGATGCATCCAAATTCGCCCAGCCATCCAGCATTCATTCATAAAGTGCTTACAGAGGGCCCCGTGCAGAATGCTTCACCGAGGTTGTGTAATTCATATAGTACTCCGTGAGTGTACTGTTTGTGTATTATGATTATTCCCATTTCGCAGATGAGGAAACTGGAACAAGACAGGCTGAGAAATTTGCCCATGTTGTCCAGCCAGCACATTACCATTGTGTTCTTAAAACTCCAGCCTGTGGCAGGAGGCTGTGCCCCAGCAAGCTGAGCTAAAACCAAATGTGTTAGCACTTCATTGGTCCGTAAAACTCTAAGGGTTAAGGATGAAAAGAACAAAACGTGTGGCAAAGAAGAAGGAAGAGCAGACACGAGGAGCTTTCAGAGTGTCCACGATTCAGGGCCAGGACACTGCACGGTGGCTTGTTCTGTGGAGGATGCACAGAATACAGCAGAGAGAGAAGGGTTTGTCAGATATCTCCTCCCACCCACCACCTCCGCAGTGAGCCTCTGCACAGCATGTCAACTCCCCCAAGGCTGGGCCTCCCCCCGGGCTCCCCATGCAGCTGTGAGAGAAGCCAGGCCAGGTCCAAGGAACCCGGGCATGTGCCTCTGCCCCTGCCTTCCCGCAGCAGTGACCAGACCCTGGGGCTGTGGAGAGGTTTGCTTTTGCTAAGCCCACTTGGGAAGAAAGCAAGACAGGTGGCCAACACACAAAGAGGGGGAAGTAGAGGAGGCTTGCTATTTGGGGATGCTGCCTATGTAAGGCTACAGTTACATGCCAGGTACACTGAAACCTTGTAAAATCGGCACTCAAATGAAAATTGGAAGCTGAATGCAGCATGCCCGCTGTTAATGGTAGCCCACCCAACATGCTTTATCTGGACTGCAAGAGTGAGTTCAGGACCTGACTCTGTCCCCTGTCTTGTGTTGTCACTGTTTAAGAGATTTCAGGTGAGGCCCATGAAACAGAGCACTGGGCTGAGGAAAGCTATGTCTGTGGTGCGCTCGACCTTCCCAGCCACAGAGAAGGGCTAGGATGCCGTCCTCACCCTGCACCCTCTGTAGGCACGGGGGATGAGTACGGCAGATTAACGACTAGGACACCGATTTTAAACGAAGCCCTGGATACCATCATTCTCACCTTCATTTCCTCCCTGGCTCTACTTTGAAGTGAGAGGCATGTAATGTGCACCCCACACAGCCTAAAGGGGAACCCGATTATCTCTGTCCCTCTTCCTTCCCACATTCCTTCTCCTTTCCTCTTCCTCCTTTCTTCCATTTTTTTCATTATTCTACTGTATTGAGAGAAAAGACCTATCTTTGTAGGTCAGAGTTCCTGGGAGGGGCCAACTCAGATGACTAACAAGATCAGTTCTCCAGCAGAGAAGTTGCAAAGCAGTAAGGCTCACAGGGGTGTGACATGGGTCTCCCCGTGTTTGCCTTTGTGAATAGTGCTGCCTATGTGCTCTGCTCTACCTGCTCATTAGCAATCTGTTACTGTGAAGTGTCCCCATCCCCATACCATGAATGGTTTAAAAAGACAGCTGTTTATGTCCACCTATGCCTGAAGTCCAGGCCAGGTTCTGGGTGTTTCTTATGCTTGCCTCGCTTGGTCACTCAGCTGAGGTCATCCAGGGGCTGGTTAGGGCTGAGACAGCCTGAGACAGCCTCCTTGCATTCTGACAGCAAGGTAGACATGGGGGTTGGTCCAGGCTTTCTGACCCTGCAGCTGGATGCTATGGAGCAAGCTGTAGGTCACAAGGCCTTCCAAATCTTTGCCTGCAGTCACACAAAGTTACTTTTGCCTAATTACATTTATCAAAGCAAGTGTTAGGACCACCTCATCATCTACATACCCTGGGATGGAAGGATTTGCGGCCATGTCTCACAATCAACCACAGGTACAAACCTGGGAGTGAGGTTGCTGGGCCTTTGGTTTTACTTTGGTCTAATTCACACTTCCAGGTGGGCCTTTCAGCCTCCCAATCGGTCTCGCGTCCTTCATGCTGTCACTCTGCCTAATTCTAGCCATCCTGGAGAAAATGGGGTGGCATCTTGTGCTTTAATTTGATTTTCTCTGAGTTGTAATGAGGCTGAGTACCTTTTTATGTGCCTATTGGTCACTTCTATATCCTCTTTTGAAGGAAGTGATTTGTAGGTGTTCTTTATATAGTCTGGATATGAGTCACTGTAATTTTACTCAATCTCCCTCTTGGAGCTTGAGAGATTTTCCTCTTGATTACAAAGGAAGTAACATTTGAAGCACAGCTGGAAGGATGATGAATAATTAAAGAAGAGCAGGAAGACCTTATAATTAGAAACATAAGCAGTGTCAACAGGAGGGAAAGTGGTGCCTTTGAGAAATAATAAGGTTGATTTCAAGGTAGGTAGAGTGTGAGGCCTGGCGATGTAGGAGACGATGTTGGAAAGGGGAGGCCAGGGAGGAAGGTCGGGTTGGAAAGAAGCACATTTTAAATGGACATTCTTTTTCATGAGTTAATCCTTGGAGTTCCTGTTTCAGGTCTCCTGAGCTTGGAGGTCTGGAAACTTATGGATGCATAAGATTTGAACCCAACAGTCCTAGCTAGGACTGCTGAGAAATGAACAGTATTACAATGAGACAGGTTAAGTGGTTTGTTCCATGTCACGAAATCTTCACAATGGTTCTATGAGATAGAACACACACATACACACAATACTCTCCCCCCCCCCCATGTCTCCAATGAGGAGACTCCTGTGTTGAATAACTTAGCAGAGGTAACATAGCTTGGGACCCGGCTGGGCTCTGACTATACCAGGCCCTGCAGCAGTTATGCCGACAGACAGTGAGAGAATATATAACACTCCCTGCCTCTCTCTTGCTAGGTCTGCTCATCTCTCTGGCTTCATGATGGACAACGACACTGAATTGAGGACTGATGGAAACTCTCTGCTGAAGGCTGTGTGGCTGGGGCGGCTCCGGCTGACCAGGCTGCTGCTAGAAGGTGGCGCTTACATCAATGAGAGCAATGACAAAGGTGAAACTGCCCTGATGGTGGCATGCATCACACAGCACGTGGACCAGCAGAGCATCAGCAAGCCCAAGATGGTGAAGTACCTGCTGGACAACAGGGCAGACCCTAACATCCAGGATAAGTCTGGCAAGACTGCACTCATCCACGCCTGCATCAGGAGGGCCGGGGGAGAAGTGGTCTCTTTATTGCTGGAGAATGGAGCAGACCCCAGCCTCGAGGATCACACTGGGGCCTCTGCTCTGGTTTACGCAATAAATGCAGATGACAAGGATGCGCTAAAACATCTCCTCGAGGCCTGCAAAGCCAAAGGGAAGGAAGTGATTATCATAACAACAGATAAGTCCTCTTCTGGCACCAAAACCACCAAACAGTATATAAATGTCCCTCCTTCACCCAAAGTGGACGAGAGACAGTCACCTCCCCTGTGTGCCTCCCCCTGCAACACTGAGCTAAAGGCTCCAGCCAGTGAAAAAGAAGAGGACTTCTTTAGCCTCCAAACAGGACATCCAAATGGTGGTAATGCTGCAAAGATTCTTACTGAGCCTGGATCACCCAGTAGGAAAGTTGGTACTCTCCGGCGGGCCAGATTGCCCCAGCTGAAGAGGCTGCAGTCTGAGCCCTGGGGCCTGATTGCCCCCTCTGTGCTGGCCACCTCCATACATCAGGATGAAATGCAGGGTGCCAGCACAGAAAGTGAGGTCATAAGGAACCTAGGTGACATGTCTTTTCTGAAGAGGGGGCCCTTGTCCAGAACCAACAGCATCGATGGCAAAGACCTCTTCCCCACTGTCACGGAGCAGATTCTGAAGGTTGCAGCGCCCTCAGCACCAGCTTCCTGGAAAGGCTCTGCTCCTCACCCTCGCCTGGCTCGGAGAGGAACCCTGCCTGTCGACCAAGAGAGGGGTGGTGTGAATACATCAGGACCCTCCTCTCTCAAAGAGCCAGCATCCCTCAAACAACTGGAAAATGACCTCTACAACCTAGACTTACAGCCAGGGGCATGACCCTGCCAACCCTATTCCCCTCGAGTCAGGCAAATGCCCCTCAGATAGAAAAAAGCTCAACGGTTCCATGTCCCTTTTCCAGGGCTCCGGGGAGTCCCTAGAGGCTATGCCCAGTTCCTCCCCCAGCTCAGGGCGTCACCCACCACACCTTCTAGAAAGACGAGGTTCTGGGACTCTGCTCCTAGACCGAATTGCTCACACCAGGCCTGGCTTCCTTCCACCCTTAAATGTGAATTTGAACCCACCAATCCCAGATATTAGACCTAGTGGCAAACCTTCTTCCCCACTCTCTAGTGGCTTAAAATCTATGGTTCCCATCGCTCCAAGCTCACCAAAGAGAGCTGATTTGAAAAGTACAAAGAAGCTCCTCCGAAGGCATTCCATGCAAATTGAGCAGATGAAGCAGCTATCTGGCTTTGGAGAAATCATGACCTAGCACCTTGTAGAATAGCTTTTCTCCCAAGTCTGTATATTTCATGGAAGGGACTATAAATCCAGACCTTCACACAGCCATGCAGGGTATCTGCATCCTGACCATTCCCTGAGGCTGGTGTGGCCACATCTGAGGATATGGAGACGTGCTGCCTTGCTTCTGAAATAAAAGGGATTGTTTCAGGGAATTTACTCCTGAAATAGTCCCTGCGATTTTATAGGCCTACTTGAAAAGTGCTCAGGAAAATTAGGTTTTAGAGAAAATTACAAGAAAAAAGTTCTCTGAAAGAATAGAATCCTTGCAGTTTGGAGGTCACACAGCAAGCCCAATGACTGAAGTTGTAGACACCAGTTATTTTCTGTACAACAAAAAGAAAACACACATTTAGATCACAAGATGTCATTTGAAGGATGTCACTGGTCATCTGTAAGTGTCTAAAAAGGAAACATGGCTTTGACATTCTTTGGAATATGCAAAACCTCAAACCCTGAGCTGCTATATATGGTTTCACCTGGTGGGGTAGAAGCAGAATTCTCCCAACAGAGAATGTCTGGCCTGTAGCACTGTCTTTTGTGGGCACTGCCTAGCATGGCCAAGGTCCTTCAACTCTCCTGCAACAGGCTCTGCTCACATGCCAGCATGGTGTGTTGGAAGTCCCCACATCCCTCTGTGTGCCCTGTTCCAACCACAGAAAGGAGCCTGGGCCTGGAAGAAAACTTTCCCCAGTCCCTGAGCAAGCACAAGCCCTGTGTGAAGTCAAAGTTAGCTAACACAGATTTGCACACCATGTAATCCAAAAGACTAAAACACTCTTCCCAGTTATGCTTGAGAGAACTTGCTGGGATCCACCAGAGTGATGGGCAACTCAGGCTCTGCACAGATACTCCTCAGGCTAGAACTGTGGCCTGAACCTGTGAGGAGATCCACGTTGTGGTTTCCTTTCAGGGATCTGAGTGATTCAAGAAACACCTGGTTTCTTCTCTGCCTGAGTTACCTGGGTGATGAGAGTTTTAATGAAAAAAATCCATAGAACCCTTTAAACACTTTGAAGAAATCCAAAGAAGGAAGCAGAAATTTAGCACTTTTGCTAAATTAGATGCAAATATTCTCATTTTCTTCCCATGTATTTCTCCTCTCATGTAACCGAGGTGCACTTGTTTCATGGCTGAAAAGTCCAGCTGTTCCTAGGGATGGAACCTTGCAGACAGAAGAGCAGAGGCTTGGGTCCATACCCAGTCTTATCATTTACTACAGAGCGACCCTGAGAAAGTGGCTCCTCATCTTGAGCTTCTGTTCTCTCATCTGCAAAATGGGACCAGTATTGTTTGCTTTGCAAGGTTCTGGTGAGAATGAAGTGGCAGAATATATTAAAGTGCTTTGTGCCAGGCACAGGTAGACATCACTGGATACAAGGTGACTAATTTAAATTTATTTTTCGAAACCTCTGAAACCTCAAAATTCAGTTCATAGATGATGTACACAATGGAGTCAAGTCCAATTGAGAGGTCCCAGTGTCCCATCAAGATTCCCACAAGTTCCGTAAATCCTGATGGTAAGCTCATTTATAAAGTAAAACATCCTGCCACGTAAGTTCTGCATATCACACCAATTCTATAAGGACATTTCTAGAAATGTATCTGAATCCCAACAAAAACATTAGTGACAGTTATAAAGTGCTTATTTTGGGGATTCTCTCACATACGTACTCTTTCTGTTACATACACACTGTTATCCTCAGTACCACTGACAGCTGAGGCTGGCTGGCTTTTGCTGGGTGAGGAAACCGATTCTGTGCATCATAGGGTATTTAACAGCCTCGCAGATGGCAGCTGCACTCTGCTCCTCAGTGTGATAACCAAAACATCACAGAGCTGACAGGTGCCTTCTGAGGGCAGCATCACCTTGGCAGGTCACTGTGCTCTTATCGAGCAGCTGTGTAAGTGCTGGAAATGTGCCAAGAACCACAGAGCCAACTGGACATGTGTCCTTCAAGACCCTTGGCAGGCAGACACAACACAAGCACTTAGGGTGTGTGTACTTGGGGGATAGGCAGAAAGTGAGGAGAAAAGCACACCAAGTGGTGAAGATGTACAGTTCAAGAACTTGGTTCAGTGTGGACCCCCGCCTTGTTTTCAGAACCACTCAGTTGTTAGCAGTTCTTACCAGGAAGACCTGATTATAGGTAAAGAAGCAGCTTCCAATATTAAACAAAAAATTGTACAACCATTGCTTCTAGGAGTTCAACACACACACACATACACACACACACACACACACACACACACACACACACACACACGGCACATTTTAAGTATTTTTCCACCTATTGTCAGTGCCAGTTAAAACTACCCTGCCATGGGGATAGGAAGACCTTGCATAGGAGCATTTTGCATTGAAGCCAAGACTTGAAAGGCTGATTTGTCTGCAATAGAGCTGGATGCATTTGTAGTGATAAGCTCAGGAAAAGCACCAGGCATGGGAAGCCACTTTGTCAGGGTGGCTGGTCCATGGAACAGAAGAGGCAGAGTCACTAACTTCCTGCATCTCACATGACCTTCCCCCCAGCCTTCCTCTGGCAGGCACCAGGGCGGCACCCTCTCCATCACTACTTGACAATGCATTAGCTGAATTAGGCTTGTTCCACACTGCCAACAAACCTTGTCGTGATTTGTGCATAAATAAGCGATTTCATCCACATCAATGAGCCTCACAAGAAATTTTAGATTCAAACATGCTTTCTAGATCAGAGGTTAGCTTTTTGTTTTGGAATCCTAGAGTCACTATATAAGTTAGCTGTAAACTACAGTTTCAATAATCTGTCCATGTAAGATCCTCTAGACTGTTTATTAAAATATAATCCAGAATGTGAGCCTAATGTGTAAAGTCTGGTACTTTGGTTTAATTTCTAGGTCTTCCAAAGCCTTAACGAAACCCACCGACCCTGGTAGCTTCCTTTGAAACTTCGTGCAGGGCCAGTCACACACATGCGGGCCCTGGAGCTCCTCCCTGTGTGTGGGTGCCCCATATGCCCTGTGCTGCTGTCCAGCCCTCCACAATGCCCCGCCCCAATCTCAAGCCAAGGGTACACCTGAAGATGTGTCAAAGTCCCTGTAGTGAAACCACCTAATGTCAATAAATGACTTACTGCAAACCTTCAGTAGTACTCGTTCTCTTCAGTGAAATTTGAGGATAACAATTACCTTTTCTTTAAGATGGCATCAATATGACTGCCTAGTGACATGAACCTTACCAAGCACTTGATGTTTTACAGGCAATTTTAAACTGATGTTAAACTACAAACACCAAAGCTCCTCTCCCAGTATGTAAGCACAGTGAATGTCAAGGTGAGAGTTGAGAAAGGGTGAATGTCCCATCACCCTGCTGCTGTCCCCAGGCTGCACCTAGCAGCAGGACAGATGCACAAGCCCTGTGCATCCTGGAGCACTGCTGACCTTGTGTCCACAGGTGACCTCATTCCTCTACCCTAGGACAGAGTGGCAAGAGCGGGAATGGGCTTGAAGGTCTCTCTGGTGCCTTAAACTCTAGTACCTTGTGATTCTGTGAACAAACTGCCCTTAAGTTTTTCTCTAGACTACTGAAATTAACTTGGTTAATAACAGGAAAAAAATAATTTTAGGATGTCTCTTCCCACTTCTGCCTTCAGCAAAGGAGGCTAATATTTATTCTAAGTCCTTTGAAGTGAAATGAAAGGGAGGAGGAAAAGATGGCAGAGGAGGAGAAAGACAAAGTTTGGGGCAGGACAGCTGGTACTGGAGGAAGGGCTGCATTTGTAAGGCTGACAGCAGGCTTAGAAGTCTGTGGTCCCTTGATATACTCAAACATACGCAAACATACTCATTTCCAGAGCAAATCCTTAGGACTGGCTCCGTGGTTCATGCTGGGAGGTGGAGCCTGGCCATGGTGGGCAGGAAGGCACAGGGCGTGAAGAACCCATGGCATGACAATGAGCACTGCAGTTGATTACCCACAAGTGTGAAGGTCAAGGCCACTTGGACCTGTGACTACACAGAGCTCCACAGAGATCCAGGTAGATTTCCCTGTCGGCTTTGTTAAAGGGGAGCCTGGATCAATTTTAGTGAATGTAGAAAAGTAATATGGGGTTACATATGTTCAAAGCAACAGAGAAATTTGCAGCATTTGTGACCAAATAACAAAACAGGATGTGCATGTAGGAAGTGCAGAATCTTGAGCTGCAGTTCTACCTTCCTGCTGAAAGGTGTCAAAGTGAGGACAAGGAGCTCAGGAGACAAGGAGACAAGGGCTTCAGGGCTGTGTGACACCCAGTTGAGTCAATACAACAACAAGAGTCAAGACTCTCACAGAGGCTCCTGTGGAAGGTGATCCTGGAGTCCAGTTCCAGAAGATGGGGTATGGAAGGGTGTCTTAGAATCACAGAATGCAAATCTACTGGTGCTTATTGTAGAAAAGAGCAATCTTATGAGAGAGGCTTGGAAGAAGTGAAGGAAAAGAAAAAGATGAGGTCCAAGGAGTCAAGAATCTACCAATGGGAACCAATGTGTTGTAAGGGGATCCAAGGAAACTATTCCATACAAGACACAACTTATAGTATTATTTATAATGGTCACTGTTGTAGTCAGGAGTTATAACGAGAACAATTACATACAGGACACAGAATTTATACTACTACTTTATTATATCACCCAGAGTTACATATAAGAAAGTACAGGAAATCTGTCCACAACACTAAAGATCTAGAAAATCCAGCCAAGGGCCTGGATCCCACAGCAATGTCCTGAATGAGTCTAGCTGAAGACCCAGAGCCCATGACAGTGCCGCCCACGAGTCCAACTGGAGGCCTAGAGCCCAAAACAATGACCCATGCAAGTCTGTTTTACAGATCTGTGTTAAAAGGCCCAAAGGTCAGAGGTGGAAGCCAGAAAGTCTATGACACTAAGGTGAAGGGTTTGTGCTAGTAGGTTGAAGGTTCTGCACTGGAACCCAGAAGTGACACTCAAGGACCACAGCTGCCCTGAAAAGTACCACAGCCATCCTCAGTGATGAGATCACAAGCTTCTCCAATAAGAACAGTACTTGTCAGGAAGCCAGTGTGACAAGCTTCTCTTGGAGATTAAACAGCACACATCTTCCTCTCTGGAGCCAGTAAGTGATGCTCAATGTAAGGATCCCAAGGTGAACCACAGCCATCCTCGGCAACAAGGTTCTGAGCTCCTCTGATGATAATGGCTAAATTCATTTTGGGGAAGCCAGAAAAATAAGCTCCTCCAGGAGAACCAATAGATGCAAACAGTGACACTTAGAAGAATCCACAACACCTCACTATTCCTGTCCATGTCTCCTTTTATGCTGGCAGCTTTCTCTAGGTGGGCCATCTACACTCAGCTCCATGTTAATTTAATTCAGCTGGTGTTAAGTTGACCAGCTTTTAATCCATAACAGTCACCAAAGAGTCAAATACAAAGGAAGCGCAAGAAATTTGTCCACACACTAATGACCTAGAGAATCCAGCTGAGGGCCTATATCCCATAGCAATATCACATATGAGTTCAAATGAAGACCTAGAGCCAATGTCAATGCCCTGCACAAGTCCAGTTGAAGGCCCAGAGCCCACAACAATGACTCATGCAAGTCTGTGTCATGGATCTGCACTGGGAAGGATCAAAGGCCAGTGCAGCTAGAAAGTCTATGCCAGTGGGTTGAAAGATACGTGCCAGCAGTTTGAAGGTTCTGCATTGAAACCAAGAAGCGACATTCCAAATAAGGACCAGGGCTCCCTTGAAAACTACCAGAGTCATCCTCAGTGTCAGTGAGGTCCCAAATTCCTCCAACAATGATAACACCAGAGTACATATCCAGAAGCCAGCACGACAAGCTTCTCTGGTGTTTAAACAGCACACATCTTCCCTTCCTGAGCCAGGAAGTAATGCTCAAAGTAAGGGCCAGAGCTTCCCCCAAAGTGAAACACAGTCATTCTCAGTGACAAGTCCTGAGCTCCTCCAATGATAACAGCCGAGTTCGTTTCAGGGAAGCCAGCATGACAAGCTCCTCCAGAACCAACAGCTCCAAACAACAACAATGCATAGAAGAACCCACAACACTAAACACTTCCTCTCCATGTGTCCTTTTATGCTGGCAGCTTTCCTCAGGTGATCTGTCTACACTCAGCACCATGCTGATTCAGTTCAGCTGGTGTTTAAGTTGACCACCAGTTTTTAATCCACCTCACAACCCAAATGAACAACCTGGTGGATGTGACCTAGTGCTTCTCTCTGAGTCCTTGGCCTCCACCAGGCACCTCTGATCCAGGGCAGAGAAAAAGAGCAAAGGATCTAAAGCAAATTTTTAGTCATCCCATCATGATTTAGTAAGCATTTAATCCATTCTTTGTGCAGCAGTAGCCAGTTGCCCACACAGTTCATTCCCTCCCCATCTAATCCTGACTTTGTGGGTATAGCAGCCCCATATTCTTGCAGCCCTTTGGATAGAGAAACTGAGCCTGGCCCCTGCCCAGAGGGATATCCTGATTGGTCTGCACTGATCATGGCAATCCCATTCTTCTCACCAGTGATTGGCTAAGCGATCTAATATAAACCAACAAACAAACACATAGCATTCTCCTTGCAGCATCTTAGTCCAGACATGGAGTCCTGCCTTCACAGTTTTGAATCTCTTTCTCTCCCAAGCCCCTTACCTCATCTCGTTTCATTCCATTTTATCACGTTAGCTGCCACTGATGTATTTCTTTTTCTGTACCAGTATGGCAGCACAATATTTCAACCATTCCAGAGTCTTAATGCACTTTCACAAATTGTGGGATGAGCCCACTTTAAATTCTACTTGTTGGACAAATTATTCTTTTGAATCACATCAAGAAATATTAAAATTTTCTGGGATATGATTGAGATCCTGTATTACTTAGTTTCTTTTATATTAATAGTTTTTTAAATAAAATCTTTCAATACAGAAAAACATTGTTTCTCTAAAAATTTAAATGTTCACTATCTTTGTTCCTCATTCAAATATTTCGTTCTCTTCATAAAAATATTATATATTTTTTTATTCCATTAGTAGTTAATTTATAATTTTGTTGCAATTGTGAATATGATATTTTTCCTATACCATCAGGTATTGCTGGTACGTAGCAAAAGCCATGTTTTCTTTAATATGATTACAATGCAAATACCAACAGGATTTTTTATTTTAAAATGACAAAATGATTCCATAATTCATATAGAATAATGAGGACTAAAAATAGCTAATACAGCTTTAAAGAATAATAAAAAGATCATGGTACAAGATGACAAGATTTAAAAAGTGATAGCAATTGAAACAGAATGATAAAATGTACTAGATAAACTGACTCAGGAAAACAGAACAGAACAGAACCTTACATCCATGGAAAATTTATGAGTGATGAAGGTGAAATTGTATGTCAGTTAATGGTGTTTGTTTTCTATATGAAATAAAAACAAAATAGGATCTTTATTTCATAGCATACAGCTAAAACCATGAATGGAAATGCAAGACAAATTTTGGTCATAACTTTTGTATTTTTATATACAAAGGAGATTGGTTCATAATACACACACAAATATATATATATATATATATATATATATATATATATATATATATTCAGACCTTGAGTGACTTGGAAAGGCTCATGTGTTGAGGTTTGGTCCTAGCATGCAGCTGGGGGAGGCGAGGGAGCAGAGTGGGAAGAGCTTGGGTCATCGCAGACTTGCCCTTGAAGGGGATGCTGAGACTTTCTCCATTTCTCTGCTTCCTGACTGCCATAAGGTGAGTAGTTTTGTGCCACCACATGGTCCCTGCTAGGATGTTTTGTCTCATTACAGGTCAGGAGCAATGGAGCCAACAAACCATGGGCTGACATGTCTAAAATAACTAGACAAAAGAAACCTTTCCTGCTTTTCATTGATTGGCTCAAGTATTTTGCCACAGTGATGTAAAGCTACTAACACAATCTGGTTTTGACAAAAAGTTCAACCAGCCTCCTAGAATAATCTAGGGCATGTTCTCTCATTTTACATTATCTAAAAAATGTCAAGTTTGGGTACAAATATGCCTTTATTGTGTACTCACAGGTTTTTCTTATACATCTCTCTTGCTGGTAAAGCTGTCAGGATTACATGTGTGTGCACATATACACACAAAGGGGTGCACTTCTGTCTTTACCAAAATCAAGGTGCAAGAAGATTCAGTGACAATAACTGTGTTATGTGTGTGTGCTGTTTTGCAGTCTACAGGCTGCTTTCACATCCAGTAGTCCTTAGTACAGGGACAAATGCACCTGCTGCCAAGCTCTTCAGTCTTATCCACACAAGGAACACATGGGTACAGCATTTCTTTGCTGAAATCAACTGCATATAATAACCTTCTGAAAAAATTCTTCAGTGATTAGCAATACCACAGTGTCTTTCCATTTTGGTTCTAGGATTTTAGTGACAGTAAAAACACAGTCCCATGTTTATAGCTGCATCGTTCATAATAGCCAGATCTTATAAACAACTCCATCTACTGAGGAATGCATTAAAAAGTTGCAGTATTTTTTTATACAATGGAGCACTACTCAGCTACAGAGAAAGATAAACTGGACAGTTTTATAAGTAAATGGACACAACTTGACAACATACTCAGTGAAATAATTAAGACACATCTGTAAACATCACATTGTTTCATTAGTGTGACAAGCTGAAAGAAAAAAACGTATATGTGCATGGATACCTGTACAAAAATAGTTAAGATAGTTATACTACTGATTGCTTTGAGTTTGCTGAAAAGAAAGATTCATGCTGGTATCGTTCAGACATTGAATGCAGATGTCGTGTGTCCTGGGTGAATAATTTGGGGATGACAGTGCGCAATGTACGTACCAATGTTGCCCCTGATTGACATGTTTTGAAATTTTGTTGTAGTTTTCCTTTTCCTCCTACTCCTACTCTTTTCAAACCTGAATAAAAATGAATTTGGGAGGAAAAACACAGATAACCCTGTGGTTACAATTACACTGAGAAATCTTAAGTCGGTATTCATGAATAGATGGTAAATCAGTTTTTCAGTGGTTTTGGGAAATGAAAGAGAAAACAACTTGAGTTTTATCAAAAAAGAATTTCAACCAGTCCTGACTGCCGAAATAATTTGAGGCGTCTGCCTTTATGCACATTTCCATGAGACCGCTGAGCTTGCTATTTCCTCAGAGCAGGCACAACATGGGGTCTTACTCTTCCCCTACCCCGCACACCTACAACACTGTTGCCTTGGGAAAGGGGTGGGGATGAAAAGATGGGGATGAACTGTTACCCAAGCCTCCCGGTGCAGGTCGGTCATCCCAGCACTCTGGGAGGCTGGGGCAGGAGGGTCACAAGTCCTAGTTCATCCTGAGCCACTTAGTGACTTAGACCCTTCCTCAAAATGGAAAATAAAAAAGGCGGGAGTGGGGGTGAAGGTGGGTGGAGAACTGGCTAGGATGTCACCCAGTGCAAGGCCTTGGGTTCAATCTCTAGCAAACAAGAAGGAAGGAAGGAAGAAGAGGAAGGAGGAGAACAGGAAAGGAAGAAAGAGGAGTGAAGTAGAAAGGCAGAAGGCGTAAACGGGTCCGCGCGTCCCCTTACCCTAACTGCAATGCGCGCTAGGTCTGGACGACTAGAAGTCTGAGCGCCAGACAGGTGCAGGAGACTGCTGGGCGTGTCACCGCGCGACAGCACCGCCCGCAGAGCCCCGCCCGAGGCGGTGAGCTGCGCATGCGCCCAGAGGCTCTGACTCCACCCCCCTCACCGCGGGAGCTCGCCCGGAGCTGCGAGCGCGCACCCGCGCAGTTGTCCAGGTCCCGCCCCGCGCCTGCGCACTGGCACCCGCCTTCCCGGAAGCGTCGCAGCAGTGCCACGTCTTCCCGCGCGCTCTCCTGGTGCGGCCCTGCAGACCCAGCTGAGCATCATGGGCCGCGCCCCTCGCCCCGCCGCCGCTCTGCTCCTGCTCCTGCTGCTGCGTGCCGAGCGGCTGCAGGGCGCCGAGCTCACCTTCGAGCTGCCGGACAGCGCGCGGCAGTGCTTCCACGAGGAGGTGCAGCAGGGCGTGCGGCTGTCGCTCGACTATCAGGTGCAGGCGGGTGACCCGGGGTGAACCTCCTGTTTCTCCCTTTCCTGTTCTCCTCCTTCCTATTCGTCCTTCCTTCTTTCTTATTTGCAAAGAAAAACCTTTGGAGAAGGCAGCTGTGGATTCAAACTCAGCCCTACCACTTGGAAGCAGTGTGGCAAAAACTAAGTGACAGGAGTCTGTGGTATCCGACCTCAGTGCATGGTCAGTATGTATGTGTTGGTTGTCCCTCAGTGACAGTTCACTGTCTGTGTGTCAGGTTATCACCGGAGGCCACTATGATGTCGACTGCTATGTGGAGGATCCCCTGGGCAACGTCATCTACAGGGAAACCAAGAAGCAGTATGACAGTTTTACCTACCGCACTGAGATCGGGGGCGTTTACCAGTTTTGCTTCAGCAATGAGTTCTCCACCTTCTCGCACAAGACCGTCTACTTTGACTTCCAGGTGGGCGATGAGCCCCCTATTCTCCCAGACATGGGGAACAAGGTCACAGCTCTCACCCAGGTGAGTGAAACCCCAATTCTTAATGACGGCCACATGTCCAGCCTAAAGGACCTGGTTCTTCCCATCTCCCAAGCTGTTCTTTAGTCCCCAAGCATCCAGCTTCCCTCTGCATCATTCCCATCAGTCTGTCTTTCATGCCCCTTTCAGAGTCCTCAGGTCCTGTGCCTCTGCTTGTGTGACATGCCTACCACAGAGACTGAAGCCAAAGTCTGCTGTGCAAGGGCAGTACAGCTGCTGTGGCACAGCCCAGTGTCAGTGCATTCACAGTAGAAGGTTTTCCTTGCTCCTGATAACCTAGAGAGACTGGTGGGGGCTTTCCAACATGGCTTGACTCTTACCTCATATTTCTGCCCTGCAGGACTTCAAGATTCTCTGCCTGTAGCCACAAAAAGGAGGGAAGAACAAGAAAGGTCTTCAAGTAGTCACATGTGTCACTTCTCGGTCCCTTTGGGCAGGTGAAATGGTCCCAACTGGCAGTGGCCTCTCAGCAGCAGCTCCACACTGTGGTGCACTGTGGACACTGCTGGAGCTCAGCCAGCCACCTCTGTACCTGCCTGCTCTGGGCTCTGCCAGGACCAGACCCTGCCATCCTTGTCATCTTGCCTCCTACTTTTAATCATCCCTCCTTCCTCTCTATCTTTAGGCCCAAAGTTCTGGGGGCTAGGGCCCTGGAATTTACCTTGGATCCTCCCTGTGCAGAAGGTGTGGTGCTAAAAACAATTCACCAGGTGTTGAGTGACTGTCAGGGCCCTGAGAAACCTGTATGGCAGGATCAACTGGCCCTAGCTGTGTTTGTTCAGAGCCAAGGCCAGGGTGATTGGAGGCCCTGGAGGCTGGGTCACGTCTGGCTGCCCTCCAGGGTGGCCTTGAGTCCTGCTCCTCTGTGGCCTGGGGCATAATCATGGCATCATTGGGTTGCCAGGTCTTCCCTCTTCCCTGAAGTTAAGGCATGTAGAGGTGCCCTTCTCCCTCTGTACTGGCCATTGTGGGAGTGTCATCCTTGGTGGCAGGTGACTGCAGATGGCTGGTGGGACTGGTTGAGTAAGAGTGTCCAGCTGAGGGTAGGGGCTGCATGTAGCATTCAACGCAGCCTGCACGTGGAAGATGCTGCAGGTCCAAACTGAAGACAAAGTCCTGTTGAATCTGCCCTAGCCAGGCTAGGTGGAGAAGGGTGTGAGGAGCGAGGTGTGTGGAGAATTCTCTCCTGGAGTCTGAGCTTTAGGGTCTGACTCTGCTGCAAGGCAGATTGGCCCTGTCACATCCCGCAGCACTTCCCTGCTCCTGCCTAGCCTCAGGAGAGGCATCTCTGCTGCTTGCAGGCCTTCATGCCACCTGCCTACGGGGCCTGAAGTGCGGTGGGATTGGCCTCAGCCCTGTGGGAGGTGGCCTTGCTGGCCAGTTTGCTTGTGGCGCTGTTGCCAGGGCGGAGCTTGAGGGGCCAGGGGTCTCAGGAGGTCTGATCCATGTTTGCAGGAGAGCCGACAGGCTTCCTGGCAGAGTCAGCTGCAGACTTGCTGGGACTGTGTTGGTCATGGGGCAGGAAGGCCTTGACCATTTTTTTGGTCATCTGGGCATGGGTCGCCTTTTAGCCCGTGACTGCTGTCTCCATAGTCCTTGAAGCAGGCTGGGGAGTCTGCCTGACTGTTTTGTGCTACCAAGGGAAAGAGGTCTCTTTCTGACTCGTTCTGACAGGGTCCCAGCAGATGATGAAATAGCAGGCATTTGTGCTTGGGGCATCTGTGACCCCTTCGATAAGCTGCTGCCTCGGGGTTTCTTTGGGGTGTGAATGTAGTCTGGGAGGCCTCCAGGGCAGCAGGGCCAAGAAGTCGCAGGCCAGCACTGCTGTGTCCTAGCCAGGACCCACATCTCTGGACCTGAGGCTCTGGGCTTGCAGAAATAAAACGCACGTGTATGTACGTATGTGTATACATACATGTTTATATACATATGCATATGTGCACAACAGGCATGCTGGTGCGCACGTTTATCCCTCCCACAAATGGCAGGAGGCCTCCTTTGTTGTCGACTCCCCTGATCTCAGCACCCCAGATCTGCTTCTCCCTGATGTGGTACCCAAAAGTGGGGGTCTCATCTCTGGCAGGACTGAGGTGACCTGGTGATTTCCAGGCCTGTGCTGCTGGTGCTTCTGAGACCTGGAGCGCCTCCCGCCCCCCTGTTAGGCTGCAGCTTGTGCTTCCTGCGCCTGGTTCTCTTCCCCTCTGGTAGGATCGGCTGCTTTCTCCTGGGGGTTCCTGCAGCTCTGCACACCCCTCAGGTGAGTGCTTCCATTTTTCACTACAGTTGGTCTGCTTTTCCTTTTATCTGTGAATGACTGTCTCGCTGAGTCTGGCTTCCCCAAACCTCACACCTGGAAGTGCCTGGAAGACAAGCGGCGTTTAATGAGGTTTGAATGAACGAGTGGACCTGAGCCTGGTTGGAAACGCCTGGAGCCTCATGTCTCTGCAGCCACAGCCCCACCTGCTGTGCTGGTCTCCCAGGATCTCTGGGTGGTGTATGTCTGGAGCGAGTTTGCCTTGCCTTTTGCCTGTGTCCAGGTCATACCTTGGTCCTTGGGGCTCTGACACACCTCCCCTTGACTCACCTGGATGCAGGTTTCCAGAGCCTGACCCCACAGCGCAGCCTCTTCTTAGTTTCTTCCCTGCTCAGGCCCTACTCCATCTCTGTGACAGTGATGTGCCGTGGTAGGCCCTGGCATGGTTATCGAGGGACCAGGCGGCAAACTCACCATCTGGCTGGTCTGCACTGAGGACCCTATCTGGCGGTTGATATTTGTAGTCAGCCCTGTGTCAGGAGCCCTTCAGGATCATCTGTTCCTGTCTCAGTGTCAGACATCTGTAGTCCCGAGAGGGTCACGTGTGGTATATGGTAGGTATTCGTGACACTCTAGAAGCTGCTGAGAAGAAAGGTACAGGTTCCCTTAGAGGTCACATCAGAGCGCACCTGGGCTCCTTTTCACTGGGTTTTGCTGGTGCCCCATCCACCCTTCAGATCATGTTGCTTTTCTATGCAGGTGACATTGTCTCCCCCCTCCCAGCCACAGTCAGCAGAGGGCCAGCCACAGAGGAAGCCCTGGCTTTGGTAGCACAGAGGCTGACAGTGCAGCTCCTACAGGGCCAGAGGAAAAGGTGCCAGCAACTTGAGAAAAGGCAGCCTGGTGAGAAACAGGTTCTGCAGCTTCTCATGCGTGCACTGTAAGCAGGTTGCCTTTGAGACTGGGTCTGAGGTACTATGGGTGCAGTGCGTAGTAATGTCTGCAGTCTGGCGTCATGGCTGGGAAGGATTGCATGCCGGCGGCTTCCAAGGTTTCAGGGCCATGGTGTTCTCATTGTCTGCTACTGAGTGATTCCCCTGCCCCCACACACAGCTGGCTGCCTACTCATCTCCCATGGCCGTGGGCAGTGGACATCTCGGTACACCCTCTCCAAGGTCCCATGAGGCCAGGCGGGGCTCTGCGCTGAGGCCCTGGGGAGCAGTTGCTTCATGCTCACAGGGTGGTTGCTAGCCCCACAAGTGGCAATTCCCTGGCTGGCTGGAGGAAGCTGCTTTGTATGAGCAGAGGCCTCGGGGTTTCTGGGTGTGGAGTGGGGCTCTTGGGGCTCTGGTTGGCGTTTTCAGAGTCCGCCTCTTCACACGGTATTTTAACAGAAACAGGAGGTAGGGTGTGAACACAGGTGTGTGTGTGTACCTGTATGTTCATGTGTTTGTGACATGAGAAGAGGACTCCTTTCCAGTCTGCATTAATGTGTAAAACCATAGGCATCCATTACACAACAGGGAGGGAGAGGCAGAATCTGAATGCTTGAGGTCTGCTTCATTCTGCTGCAGTAGTCCTGTACCCCGGCCATTTATGTGACCAGTTCCAGCCTCAGTTTCCCCATCAGCACATCAGGTGCATAGCTAGTATTGCTTAGCAACAGGGGCAATGACCTGCATGTCTGTGCTTTACAAGGATTAAATAAGAAGGAAGGTAGTGCTCACCAGCATGGTCTCAGGACACAGCCCAGTCAGGTCCTGACCTGTTCCCTTGCCGGTGTCACCGGCAAGTCTCTTGCCCTCTCTGTGCCTCAGGTGCACTTTCTCCTCATGGTACACAGGACTGCTAGACCCTTTGCACAAATACCACGTTAGCACTCCCAGGGCTCCCCTGATATCCATAACAGTGGGCCGCGGGCAGGCATTCCCCATGTCTCAGCCAGCACTGTGACTGCCATGTCTTCCACCCAGATGGAGTCTGCCTGTGTGACCATTCACGAGGCCCTGAAGACAGTCATCGACTCCCAGACTCACTACCGGCTCCGGGAGGCGCAGGACCGAGCCCGAGCTGAAGACCTCAACAGCCGAGTGTCTTACTGGTCCATCGGTGAGACGATCGCCCTGTTCGTGGTGAGCTTCAGCCAGGTGCTGCTGCTGAAAAGCTTCTTCACAGAGAAGAGGCCTGCTCACCGTGCGGTCCACTCCTAGCCGAGACCTCGGGCTGGAGCAGCTTCTAGGTGCCAGGCTTCTGCACACCACATCCTCGCACCCCACCGAGAGCCCAAAGAAATCAGTGGTCTCCTGGCGTCGCGTGCATTCTCTGTGCAGTGCTGACTGGAAGGACCTTTTACAGTCAGGCAGGGGTCACGCCTTGGGAGGGCAGTGGGTGCACCTCGGGGCCCCTCCTGGGGCCTCCAGCACCACTTAGGGGTTGGCTTCTGCTCCATGGTGCCTTGGTTCTCTGGAGAGCTGTGGAGCTCTCCCCTTTGGCCTTTCCTCTTGTGAGACTGCACTGAGGAAGCCGGGCCCTGAAGCAGCCACACACATCCACCTATCCTGGGCACAGCCATGTCAGCCATACAGGCAGGACCCAGGTGAGGAGTAAGCCTTGGCCGGCCCTGCATCTCTCAGGTGGGGCTGGGCCAATAAAAGACACCTGTGAGCACCTACATGGGTGTGGCTTCTTCCTGTTCCCAGAAGAGCTTGGAGCCCTAAGGGGAGCACAGGATGTGCAGACACAGGGCCAGTAGGTGCGGACCGGGCCGGTTCAGTCACTCCTCCCAGACAGGAATGGGGACCGGAACAGGAAGGCTCTGCTCTGTCAGTCACCAGCCCTGCCGTGGGAATACCCCTGCCCTGTGCCTCACCGCCCACTGGGCCTTGCCACTGACCAGACAGAGCCCTCCCTTGGGTTTCCATGCAGGACCACCTCCCTGCGCCAAGAGGGAGGAACGAACTCTCTTTGTCCGAGGTCTGGAAGGACAGTGTGCCGCCTTCTACATGACACCTGCTGAGAGGCCTGACACCGGAGCTGTCTGGCAGGTGCTTGGTAGTGCACTGGGGGAAAGAGGTCCGAGCAGGCTTTAGTCCCCTGCGCTATGGAAAAAAAAAAAATTAATTAAAAAGTAAGAGCAAAATAAACTATCCCAAGACATCCATAACCTGATTGACTTGATTGGAAGATAGACACTGCTTGTCTTCCATGTGCTTTTACAGTGTTTCTTTCCTGTCTCCTGTTGTAAAGTTAAACACTGGGTAGATAGAAAAGACTGTTAACTGTCCAGAGTAGAGTGGAAGGCACTGTGGAGTTCCTGTGTATCCCGTCCACCCCTTGGCGATCCACAGGGCACGGTCCTACTTTCAAAGCCCCTAACTTCCCACTACCCCCTCCCCCTGCCCAGGGAACCTCCTGCCTGGAAGAGGTATCTCAGCCACTGAGAAGGTTGCACACAGCATCACTCAAAGCTCCTGATGTCACTGTTCACTGTTTCATGGGAACAAAAAAAAAGAATTGCTGGTGACTTCCTGTTTTATTTATATAACTATCATTCATCCATAAAAACACAGACTGGTGGGGAAATCCTGCCCCAGTCATTGAGTTAACAGGTAAGGTTTACATAAACTCATTTCTGTGGGGGATAAGGTGCTAGGGACTGAGTGGACCCAGGGCCTTCTCAGCTCAGAGCAAGGCACTGAGTGCTGAACCTTTGTCTTTGAATTGAAGAGGGACAGGGAAAGATGGAAACTTGTGAGCTTGTATTTATGGATGATGGTAGATGTTAAACCATGTGATCATTAGATGGAGAGATGTGACTTTTAAAATTTCAAGCTTAAGTTCAACCTCCAGTACCACCAAACCCACCCCAAAACAAAAAACTTTCAAGTTTAAAATATGCCAGAAATTATTTCCTTCCCATTCATGATGAAAATTGTAGACATCACCTTAGAAATGTCAAGTGTTTATGTATCTCTTGGAGGGTATTCAAGAAGAAAGGGTGCTGCTTTGTTCTTGTTGGTTTGAACCAGATGTGCCCCAGAGCCTCTCGTAGTCATGGGAGTGGCTTTGGGGAGGGCTTGGGTCACAAGTGGGATACTCACCGGAGGGTTAGACCATTTAAACTCGCCGTCAAGAGGCAGGACTTTGTGGCAGAGCCAGGGTCCCTGGAGGTGTAACTAGGACGGGTGCACACCTTTCCCTGCTGCCTCCCTTCTCTCCACTTCTTGGCCACTGAGAGGAGCAGCTTTCTTCTGCCTTGCCTTTCTACCCTGCCAGCTGTGCAAACACTGAAACTTCAAAATGTGCACCAAAATAAAGCTTTGCTTTAAGCCCTGGGTTTTAGTCATTTTTGTCCCAGGGAGGAGATGACAGCTCTGTTCTCAGTTTCCCTGGGAGCTCCACTCCCCTTAAGTCTGGGCACCTTGGTGGGAAGGGATGTTGAGTACTGGCATTTGAGTGGGGGCACTGGATCGGGCCTCTCTTGGATTCGAATCCATGTCTACCACATGCTGAATGTGCCATCTCAGGCAAGGTGCTGAGCTCCGGGCCTGTTAGGTGGACTCAGCAGTATTCCAGGGGAGCAGGGACCAGAGCTAAGCATTGCTGGTCAGCAGAAACAGGCTTTGCCATCCCCAGCGCCCCCATGAAATCCATTTGAATCCAAGGCCTAGATGCTGCTGACAGCTGAAGCGGTGGAGGCGCATCTGCTTGCTCAGGCGATTGAGAATCTCCCTGATTAGAGAGGGGACCTCTGCTTTCCACTGAAATTCAGGATTATTCAGAGGAAGAAAAGTTGCAAGAAAATGTCTGATGCAGTGTGGTTTGCTCCATACCATGCATTTCAGGAAACAGCTGCGCTTCTCCAGAAAGTAGTTGTGAAGCTAGGTATGCAGTGGGACTTGGCCCCTAAACCAGGACATGGCTGCTGAAATGCCGCCACTGCTGTCAGCTGTGATGTGAGGGACCTTGCCAAGGCCCGGTGACTTCATGGTCAGGCGCTGTCCACAGAGTAATGGAGTGGGGAGGGCTGCTCTTATTTTTAAAGATAATTTTCTAAAACAAAAGGGTAAAATCAAGGCTCATACTAGCATCAGATGAACACAGGTAAAAAAAAATTTATATTAATGAGGAAAGTGGAGCCCATAATGCTCAAAAGAGAGTTCAAGAAACACGCACACTGACCCAAGTTGTGAAGTAGCTGTGAATGGTGGACCAGGCTGATATCCGCAAGCTAGGAGACTTGTCCTCTGTGGAAACCAGAACAGGCTCAGGACAGACCGGGATCAGATGGCCTGGAGGCATGTCCAGAGACGCAGTGTTTTGTTTTTAAATTAAAAGTCTTCCTGCAGATTCCGAAGGGGCTGCTGAAGTGTCACCAAACGGGGAGGACAGTGACTTCCGGGGTAATTCAGACCAGCTGCGCAGTCTGCTCTGGCAGTCACGGCTCCTGGCTGCGGGCTGGGAACAGTGTCAGCTGTGGCTAGTCTTGGGCCTTTACCTTCACCTTTTCATTTCCCTCACTCCCCTCAACCGTTGTAAATATTCCTGCCATTACAGTCTCAAAATGGGGAGAAAGGAGAGGGAAGAAGGAAGGGAAAAACCGCAGGGTGGAGGTAGGAGTGAGGCCTCCGCCTCAGGGAGGTGAAGGAGTCTCAGCCTTCCAGGATGGGGTCGGCATCCCGTAAAACAGGCCAGAGGGAGAGCTTGCCCTTCCTGCCAGCTGAAGACAGAAGACGTGGCCATCTGTGAGCCAGGAACTAGAGTGGCCCTGAGTTGCCCTAATCTCGGACTTTGCGCCTCTGAACTATAGGAAGTGTATTTCTGTTGTTATAAGTCACCCAGCCTGGGAAAATGTGTTACAACCCGACAACTGAGACAGCTATAAACAAGAGTGAGAGAGTGGAATAAAACTGCAGATACACAGCCCCCGGGGAGGCATGGGCCTCAGCATGCAGCAGGTCCTCAGAGCAGACAGAAATGTCTGGCTCCCTGGCCTGGAGCGCCGGCACAGCCTGTGTAGAGCACACCCGGTTCCTGCTCTTCGTTCTGCCCAGCCGGCCACGATGGACCTGAACATCCGAACGCACTGGTGGTGAGGCCAGGGGACGCTCATACCCGTCCTCGTTGGCACTGCCACCAGCAGCTCCTCGGGCCCTCCTGGAGCGCAGTGATGATGTGGTCTGCTCATTGGAGAAGTAGTCTACCTTTTTGTGATGAAACCTTTAAAATGAAATAAAAAATGGTTGCCTATGTGTGTGCTTGGCTAATGTGACTGAACCCAAGCAAGGGTCATATTTTTTTCTGAGATGCTTCTGTGTATTTGGAGGTTATGTAAGAATCATAAAAACTATACATGGTGTGATCGAAATATACAGTGGATGTTTAGACTTTTCAAAAATGAAAGTTCTTGTTACAGTAAGACACACTGCTGTCAGTCCCCCCAGAATCCTCCCTGTGGCTTCAAACCCTCTGATCCACTGTTCCCGCTCCTTCCAGAGCCCTTTCAGGAGTGTCCATGAGCAGAGCGGTGAGAGCTGCTGCCGGGTGCCATCGCAGAGGCAGACTGGGAAACACTACAGTGTGTCCTCTTTTATCTTACCAGACTTGGTGCCTTAAGATTTCTGGCTCTTTGTCAAAGTCAAAATACCTCTTAAAAATCAAGTGTTTCCAATCAATAGGATATCAAGGCAGCACCAGCAGTGCCGGGAAAGGCATGCGAGGACTCAGCTGCTGCAGAAAGTAGCAAGAAAGAGATGTGTGTTTGCAGCTAGGGGAGGATCTTGGGGGCCGTGGAGGGCAATGTGTCTTTTACTGTAATTAACTTTAAAGCTAGACATCATTTTCTTGAGCCACACCCTAGTAGAATATAGTTACAAACTGCTGTGTGGTCATGAGTTGCTGGAGGCTTTCTTGCTGTTCATGGAAAATGAAGCTGCCACTGCTGGCTGTAGCAAAGGCCAATCCGCTGTGTTCCTTTTCTGGGAAGTGGATTCACCATGAGAGTCCTCTTTCTTGGTAACCATGTCCACTGCAGAAGGCAGAGGCCTGGGTGGCTGGTGACTTGTGTGGTCAAGAGGAGAAAAGGTCAGGCTTTCCCCTAGGATCACTAAGCAACCTCTCACTTATAATCTGGATCCCTGTACAGTCGGCCTGCAAGAAGAGAATATATTTGCGTTGCATCTTTAATTGTGAAAGACTTGAAAGCATTCTTTTAACTTTGAAAGTTATAGTTCAAGCAGTTGGCGTAGTAACTGAAATTGCTGTATTCTCACCTGCACGCAAGGCAACCACCCAGTCCCAGCCCTACAGTCTGGAGCTTGCCTGGGAGAGTCTCCACTCGCAGCCGCGCTCAGGAACAAGTTCTGAGCTGCCCTGGGCTCTGATAGCAGGGAGCCGCGTGCCTGTGTGGAGGTGTGTGTGTGACATTTTCCATCCTCTTCAGAGCGGCGCCTGTCCATTGAGCGTTGTCCACTTCAAGATGGAGAAACCACAGCCACCCTTTGGGGAGCAGCCTCAACACCTGGCTGGGGAAACTGGCCCAGGTGAGCGGTTCTAAGCAGCACTGAGGAGGGACCTCGAGGAGAGCCCTCATGTTCTGGGCTGCCCAGTCTTCTTGTCACCCCAATAGTGGCAGCTGTTGGGCGACTCACAGGCTCAGGGCAGCTTCGAGCAGTCCCACACCTGGGGTGTTGCTGCAGTCCCTTCCCGTCACACCTGGGACAGGGTTAGGCTGAAGACTACTTTCATTCCAGCTGGGTTCTTTTAAGTGGCAAGTGAATTTTGGACAAAGCTGTCACATACCGTTAGCGAATACGCTCACCCACTGTGATCCTGTGTCCTGGGGCCCCCCTTCCTTGCACTCTCTGGAGACCCTGGCAGGGCCTGGCCCTTAACCTTCTGCATACCTATTGCCAGACTCGCTGGCTCATGACTCCCAGCCACAGGCAGGGTCCAGCAGCTGCCACAGAGAAGGCAGTGAACAAGCTCTGTGGCCAATAGAAGCAGGTTACGTGATAAACACGCTAAAGAAGAGGACTACTAATGCTTTGCTGTAACAAATACTTATAAGAAAGAACCAAGTGGGGATGTTACATATGAAAAACATAACAGGAGAAATGAAGACTGCCGGGAAGACATAAAGGCAGCACGGGACACGGTGTGTGT